GGGGGGGGGGTTAAAGGAAGACCCTGGGAAAGGATCTCCTTGTGAGGTCAAGGTCATCAGAGAGGAAGCTGTTACCTGCGCTGGGGAGGAGGAGCTGGGGAATGGGAAGACAGCCACCAAAAAGAGGCAGCATCACTTGCAAGGTGGCGGCCCCCTCCAGGGAACCTGGCAGCGGGGGCCGCTCCCGGAGTGTTTGCTTGCTGCGTGCGCCGCGGGGTCTTGGCTGGGAGCCCACAGCCCCCTGGCTCCGCACAGGCAGCTACGGGGACCCAGGGTGTGCTGAATGAACTGTAGCATGTGACAGATGGAGAGGAAGCCCCAGGATGTGAAACAAAGTCTGGGCAGGAAACGGAGGGGAAATGAGGGGCCCACGTTGTCAGCGTCTGGCTGGAGGGGAAGGTGCTGGGAGTGCGCAGAGGCTTATGGGAAGGTGGCCTCAAATGCCCAGCCAGCAGAGCTGGCTTGGAGACCTCGGGTCTTGGTTCAGGAGTCACGAATATCAGTATTAATGTGGCTCCTGGTAAATGCGTCCTAGAGCAGCTGGGGACTGTAGCTGGGGGACTGGTGTAGAATCCAAACAGGCAAGGGATGAGCCCGATTCTGCTTCTAACCTGCTGTGCAACCTCAGGGAGCTCACTCAGCCTCTCTGAGCTTCAGTGTTCTTACCCGAGTAGAGGATCAGCGGCACGACCCAGGAGGGCTGGGGCGTCCGAGGCTTTGGCAAGGCCCGTCTCACTCACACAGTCTTGTGGTTCTAGAGGCTTTAGGACCAGGGATCTGTTGCCGTGTTACTGTGTGTGTGTGTGTGTGTGTGTGTGTGTGTGTGTGTGTTTTCATTTACTAATTGTGAACTACAAATACCACAGAAGCTACCAACTTAACCTTTATAAAGTGTGTGGCTCGGTGGCATTAAGTAGAGTGACGCTGTTGTGCAACTGACACGACCGTCCGCCTCCAGAACTCTATTCATCTTGCCAGACTAATTCTGTCCCCATGAAACACTAAGTCCCCATTGCCCCCACTCCCAGCCCCTAGCAGCCACCATTGTACTTCTGTCTCTATGAATTGGACTCTTCTAGGTTCCTCATATAAATGGAATCTGACGGTATTTGTCCCTTGGGGACTGGCTTGTTTCACTTAGCGTAACGCCTTCGAGGGTCGCTCATATTGTAGCAGGTGTCAAAGTTTCCTTCCTTTTGAAGGTTGTGTAATATTCCCTTGTGTATACACACCACGTTGTGTTCATCCTTTCATCCGTGGATGGACACTTGGGTTGCTTCTACCCTTTAGCCGGGGTGAAGAATGCTGCTATGAACCTGGGTGCACAGCTTTCTCTTCAAGACTTTGCCTTCAATTCTTTTGGGTAATACTCAGGTTTAGATTTGTTGGATTGTAGGTCTATTCTATTTTCTGTTTGGCAGGAATCATACTGTTTTCTGTAGCAGCGTATAAGATTCCGATTTTTCCGCATCCTCACCAAGACTAGTTTTCTTCTCCTCCTTCCTCTTCCTCCTCCTCCCCCCCCCGCTCCTCCTCCTCCTCCTCCTCCTTCTTCTTCATCATCATCTTCTTCTCCTCCTCCTCCTCCTCCTCCTTTTGCTCCTCCTCCTCCTCCTCCTCCTCCTCCCTTTAATAGTAGTCATCCTAATTGGTGAGGGTGGTTTCTCACATGTGGTTTTAATTTACATTTCCCTGATTTTAGCCATGTCAATGATCTTTTCAAATTCTTATTGGCCATTTGTATGTCTTTTTTGGAGGAATGTCTATTCAAGTTCTTTGCCCATTTTACAGTCTTGTTGATGACATAGTTTGGATATTAACCCTTTACTGGGTATATGATTTGCAAATATTTTTCCCATTTCATGGATTACCTTTTGACTCTATTAATTGTTTTTTGGTCCACGGAAGCTTAAAACTTTGATGCATAATGCCATGTTTTGAGGTTGCTCAGAGGAGCAAAGTGGCAATAATCAAATTCCAATTAATTCTGCCCAACACAGAACTCCATACCCAATTTTTCACCAGTCCCTCCACTAGTGGTTCTCCTGCAGGGAAGGGACTAAATTCCATGAGATAAAAACATAAAACCAGCCCTGTTTGTGGAGCATCACTGCACATCAGAGAATAGTGCCAGCTGTGGCTTCAGGTTAGACTGGGGCAAATTTGGAGAGGTCACAGTCTACCTCTGAGCCTTAGATTGCTCATCTGAAACATAGAAATAACTCCCACCTTGAAGGAGCCAATGCATGTGTGCAAACTCAGGATCTGGGCCCCATAGGCCTTGAAGTTTCTATTTATAGCATCCACAGGACAGAAGCTTTGGGGCAGCTGAGAGAAACTGGCCACTTCCTTGACATATTCTCCAAGAGGTCAAGGGCTTTCTTCCACACTCCTGTCCTTCAGTCGCCTGTGACCGTTATGGTTTATCCATATCATCCACGTGCTTCCTCCCCTCAGGGTCAAGGAGACTGATGCTCGTGTTGTCCTCAGCCTCTCTTGAACTTCAGCCTCCGCATTCCCCACCTTTTATCTCTGAGTGTGAGGAACAAATCTGTGTTCTCTCTCTTCGCATGTCATAATTTGATCCCCCCACGGTCCTCAGTTAAGGAGGTTCGCTAAATAAGCATTGGTGATACAGTGAGGGAGACAAGGTTTGGTTTTCAATCCTGGAGATGGATAGGAGGGTGGCCCATGAGGGCATCTCTCGCCAAAGCAGGAGGGAGCTAGGGAGATCCTGGATACAGGATCTGTCTTCGTCATCATCATCGCCACCATCACCACCCTTGTTTCCATCATTATTATCATGTGCACTATAATAGAGTTTGACTCCAATTTTTATGTTGGATCACTGACAGCTTGAGGTTCACGCCTCCTCTGTCTCCTTTTTGTCTCTCATCCGGACAAACTGGTAGGAAGGCCCACGCTGCCTCCTTTGACCGTGGCAAGTAGTTCACATCAAGAAAACCACGTCCCAGGCATGAAAACTCTCACCCTGGCCTCACTCCTACTCACAGTGAAAACCAGAGCCACTCACTCCTCTCTTTACACGACGGACAGCTTGGGTACAAGCCCCGCTCTCTCCAGAACCCTCCTTATGTGGGTAATAAATCTTTCCGTGGGTGTGTGTGTGACAGCATTAGACTCAACATCCAAACCAATTGTGTCTGTGTATACACAGGTGCTCGATCCTGCCCTCCACAGGACAATCAGGAGACAGTGACCATCGTCACCACCACCGTCATCACCATCATCACTATGGTTTAACCAAGGGTTCTGTGCTGAGCACAGCACTTTACATGGATCATCTCAGTTCTCATGGCAGTCCCATAAGATGGGGACAGCTTGCATCCTCATTTTGATAAGAAAACGGAGTCACAGAGAGGCTAAGTCACTTGTCCAAGGTCACAGGGTAAGTCACCCCCACCTTCTTAACCAATGTACTGTCTCCAGGGTGAGAAAGTTCTTCTCTGTGTCTAACTGCTCACTCTCCTGCTGCAGCCCCAGTCCAGTTCCCCCTTCTGCCTTCAGAGGAGTCCGTGGGCAGAATCCAGCCAAGGATTCCAGGGCTCCCCTTGGTGAAACTTCCCCTCATCCCTTCTCCTCTAACACTCTTTCCTGGGGGACTCGTCCACTCTCGAGATTTCAGTTATCACTTTCCTGTTGCTGATTCCCAGACTCTTCACACCCAGGACTCTGCCTGCTGCCAGGCCTTCCAACAACGGTCACGTGGACGCCTGCCCTGAGCTCCGGTGTTTTGCCGGTTTGTCACCGATGCTTCCGGCAGCCCTGCAAGGTGGGCCTGACCCCCACCCCGTCCCCCACTTACAGATGGGAGGCTGGGGCCCAGTGAGGGGGACTAGAGCCCAGTCAGGGCCGCTGGCATCTGGGCTCAGAGCCTGCCCCCTCCCTGCACCTGCCATCATCCTACCCGCTGCCTCTGGGCTCTGTCCCCTGGATCACTAATGTCATCGAGCACCGGCTCCGGGCACCTGGAAGGGCACTCGGTGGGCTAACTCCCTCAGTCCCCACACACCTTCTGGGCGGGGCCATCAGGGTCTACGGATGAGGTGTCACCCAGCACCGACCACCAGATGTCACCTCAACTGCTGACTCTGGCACCTGTGCTCCTGACCCTGAGCTTCAATGATGCACCTGCTGTGTCCTCTTCTCAGAGTGGCCTCCACCTGCCCCACGGCGTTTCCATCAGGGAAAGTAAGCTCTTGGTTCAAGGGCCACACCAAGTGTCACCTGCTCTGGGAAGCCTTCCCTGATCTCTGCTCCCAGAGCCCCATCCCGGGGCAGAGTCCCTCTGTCAAAGCATCAGTCTCCCCCTTGCTTAGGGTGCATCCATGTGTCCTTCTCGCCTTCTAGACAATGGTCGCCAGGGAGTGGTTCATGGTGACATCAATCAGCCCCGATGGGGGAATCTCCTTGTGTAATAGACACTGCACTGCCCCAGGGAGGGGCTGGTTGGGGGTCTGTGGAAACTGGAGAGAGTAAACACTGAGCTGCTTCCAGCTGGGTTATGGCAGGGCCTGGGGGATGTGAGTGATCTCCTGAGATCTCTTCCAACGTGGGGTTTACGATTCTGTTATTTCCACCAAGTGCCCGTTCGAGAGGAGCTGTGTGGGGGATATGGTAGGAAGTGGGGTGTGGAGGAGAGGGTTGGGGGTGGTGCGGAGGAGAGGGCTGGGGGTGGGTGGGGAGAGAAGGGTTGGGGGTGGGTGGGGGGGAGCGGGGGCTGCAGAGTTGGTGGGGGGGACCTGGGAGGAGCATCGATGTCAGGCTGCAGCCGCCAAGCCAGGCCGGGCTATTCTGGAACAGAGCAGGCAGACGGCCACCCACCTGTCTGCACCAGGAAGCCTGGGGATGAGCGGGGCGCCTCTGTGCCCTGCGGGCTGGCCCAGAGCTCAGGTCTCACAGCTGGGGGGTGGGGGGCTGCTCTTGGGAACAGTTGGCGGGACCTGGCGGGGAGGCCCCAAGTGGAATCAGGCCTCAAGGCTCAGACCCCAACCCTGACTTGCGGTCTGCCGAGCTCTTTGATGTCTCCCCTTCAGCACTTGCCACACAGCATGGTCAGAGGGGAGGGGACCGGGCCCATGAGGTGATGCCAGCCACGTCCGGAGGGTCATGCACCAGGAGGGGTGAGCATGACAGCGCTGGCCCGGAAGAGCCACCTTGGGGTGTCTCCCACATGAGGAGCTGTGTCCCCAGGGTCGAGAACAGCCCAGGCCAGCGGGAAGGTGGTGACCACACATCCCCGAGGAGGACCTGAGCACGCGTGGATTCTGGTCTGTGGGTGAGCGCCCCCCTCAGGACCCAGGATGCCCCTGTCACCACGAGTGAGTGGCACGCACAGCATCCACGGGTCCCGGCGAGGGCCTGTCCCCCAGCTCATCGTGGTTCGGCAGCCCAGCCGGCTAATCCTCCTCGGCTGCCTAGTCCAGAGGCAGCTGGAGTTTTCCAGTTATGGGCTCTGGCTCGTCCCTCCTCTTCCCAGAGGATGTGGGCCTTCTGTCTTGGGGGAGGCGGGGGGAGGATGCTCGGCGGCTGCAGATCGGAGGCAGCCGGAAAGTGGGAGCCGTGCTGGGATGGAGAGCAGAGAAGCGGGAGGGAAATAAACAGCGTTTGACCCACATATTAACTGACTGGCCCTTGGATGGATTTTCAAGTCCTTGCTGAGACTGCTGGGGTGGGGAGGGCAGCGGAGTGAGGTCAGGGGCTTTGCGGGCGTGACTGCCCGGCTCCGTGCCTTCTCGGCCCTCACCAGCCTCCTGCAGCCCAGTGGGGAAGGCCCAGGCTTCTGCTGGGAGCAAACATTTATTGAGTGCCTATTGAGCGCCATGCCCTGCACATACACCGGAACGCCAGGGAGGCCAGGCCCCGTCCTCACGGAGTGCACGTGGCCGGGTATTTTCCACGCCCCCTTCCACTGCCCAGCTCCTACCGAGTGGACCCCACCCAGGCCTCCCTCTCTCCGTGTCCCTGCCCGGAATGTGGATACCGGGGGCAACGCTGTGTCCTGGAAAGAGCACGGACTTGGGAGAGCAGAGTTCTGTTTCTGGCTCTTCTGTCAATGTGTTGTGCGACCTCAGGCAGTCGCTTCACCTCTCTGGGTTTGAGCTCCCTCATCAATGAACTGAGAGACAGCTGCCCGTGCATTGGCCCTGTGTCCGCCTAGTGCCGACTTCACTTCTCCCTCAGAAAGGAGCCTGGCGACACGTGACCCCTCGTCTTCCTCTCATCCTAACTTAGAGCCGTCGGTTACAACGGGGTAAGGGAACTCCTAAGTCACTCCGGTGTGCCACAGAGTAAGAAGAGTGCCTCCTGTTCCCTGCCTGGGCCTGGGAATGACCGCGGGCCAGGGAGACGGGGGTTCCTGCAGAGCGACCGGGGCCCCCAGTGACGGGAGTGCCCCTGACACTCGCCAAGTGCAAAGCTCGAGCCCGGACTGGGGGCCGGTACAGAGTGTAGCTGGGGATACGGGACCCAAAGCCATCCTGGAGAGGGCAGAGGAGGGGGTCTGGGCGGGGGGCACAGTGGAATAGGTTCCCAGCCCTGCCACCCTGTAGCCTCCCTCTAGAAACTCACGTCACCCACCAGATTGGTGGTAGAGTGTGCCAGCCTCTGAGGGGCTCCGGGAGGGCACCCGGTGAGAGCTCGTGCTGGACATCCCCGGAGGGGGCCCCTTGGGCCCGAAGCCCGTCTAAGCCCCTGACCTCGTCCCCAGTACTTTGCTCTATGAGAAGCAGGAAAGATAATGCCTCTTCACTGGTAAATGTCAATATCGCCACAAAGCCCGTGGCCGCGGCCGCCTTGGAACAGGAGTTGCCACCAGCCCGGAGAGGCGGGGGTCTTGAGTGGCAAACGTCAAGGAGACTCCTGAGTCCCGAGTTTCCAGACCCTCTTGGGGTCCCCTGAGACCCAGGAATGTGGGTGCCAGGTGGAGGCAGTGTGGGGCTCTACAAGGGTGGGGACCAGGAGGAGCTGCTTCCGGCCTCTCTGCCTCCTCCTCGAGCCATTGGACAGATGCTTAGTGTGCACCTGTTCCGCGCCAGGCCCCGAGCTGGGTGTGGGCAGCAAAGCTGCAAAGGAAACAGCCCCCGTCCCCGCAGGCCTGGGAACGATAGCCCGTGACGGTCGTGATCCCGACACAGCACGGAAGCGTGGGCGACTGCAGCTGGGATCAGGGCTCCAGAGGACGGGTCATGGTGCTATGGGGTTGCTGACGAGAGAGAGGGGGTCAGGACGCTGACTTTCTGCCCGCACCCTCCCCTCCATTGTCACCACGGCCACCATCGCCGTTGGTATTATCAGCATTGTTGTCCTTGTCGTCGCCACCGTCACCGCCATCACAGCTCACCCCACTGAGCCCTGCTGGGTGCCAGGTTTGTGCAACGAAGAGTTTTGTGGCAAGACTTCATTACCCGCCTTCCCAACAACCCCAGAGACAGATACTATTCGTCTTCCCTCACCAAAGAGGAGAGCCAATTTGGGAATATGAGAGACTTTCCCAGGGTCCCTATGAAGAAGCGATGGGCTGGGGCACCTGAGCGGCTCAGTCAGTTAAGGTCCGACTGTTGATCTCCGCTCAGGTCACGATCCCAGGGTTTGTGGGTTTGAGCCCCGCTTCGGGGGCTCCGCACTGACAGCAGGAGGCCCGCTTGGGATTCTGTCTCTCTCTGCCCCTCCACTTCTCATTCTCCCTCTCTCTCTCACGCTCTCCTTCTCAAAATAAGTAAATAAACTAAAAAAACAAAACAAAACAAAACAAAAAAGAGAAGGGATGGATTCAGGTCTCCACATGCCAGCACAGATCTCCCTCCCCCATGATGGACCTCCCGGGACCTCCCTGTGGGGGTCCACGAAGGTCAACCACCTCAGGAGGAGTGTTGGGGGTGGGGACTCAGATTGTGGGCTCACAGCCCAGCTCCACCTGGCCTGGCTGAGCCCTGGGGAAGTTTCTCAGGTTGGGCGTGTGGGTGAACGAGATGGCACTCAGCATGTCCCCAGTCCGCTGTGAGCACTCAGTTGGGAGTCCTTGCCTGCACTGGGGCCTGGCCTCTGGCTTCACCTCCTGTTTCCTTCCCTATAAGCAACCACCTAGCCTGACCCTTCCTGAACCTTCCCTTCACCTCCACCTTGGACACATCCCTGAGGTTCCCCTCAGGGCCATCATCCAGCTGCCTCTGGCTATTCGAGATGACACTCCCATCCTAGACCCAGACCCGGGGCTTCACCAAGTGGTTTCTTCCATTTAGCCCCTCACCCCCTCAGTGGGAGGTCAGCTGGCAGCCTCCTTCTCAGGCTCTCCCAGCCCAGCACTTCTGGCCAGAGGGATGGGTGGGCCCTTTCTCCTGCCCTCTTCATAAATAATGGCACCGTTACTGTGGGTCCTTGTCTGTGGTCATAATATTTTACGCTCCACTCCCCCACTGAATGGCTCCTACTACTTTGAGCAGATAAAAATGGACACGGCCGAGACAGGGCAGAGAAAATCAATAAGTAATAAAAGTTAACCTGAGAGTGAACGTGTTATCTCAATCACCGAAAGAGCCTAGAAGGTATCTGAGTTATGAGACGAGCCCAGGGACACACCCCAGAAGCCGGGGGACGATGCAGCTTCGGGTGTGTGTGTGTGGGGGGGGGGAGGGGAACAGACTCAGAGGCTCCGGCCACAGCCCACTCGATCCAGGGGCTCCACGGGGGCTCCTCACAAGCCACAGCAGCGATGGAAGGAACTCGCCTCCACGCGCCTCTCGCGCCTCTCGCGATGTGTTCCTACGTCTGTTCAACAGAGGCATTTACTGAGCACCTACTGTATGCCGAGCCCTGGGATCCGACCATCTGGGTTCACATCTCGTTTCTTCCGCTTGCCAGCTGTGTGTCCCATGGCAGGTGACTTAACCTCTCTGCGCCCTGGTTTTCCCATTGGCACAAAGAAGCGTGTTAATATTTATCTTTCAGGAATGTGAGAGAAATGGAGGGGGCCCGTGGCTACAAACTGCTAAGATTGATGCCTGGCCCGGGGTAGGCTCTTGATAAATGTAGCAAAATTTTCCCATTGTATGAGGCCCCTCGCTGAACAAGACAGACTCAGTCCCTCCTCTCACGGAGCAGAACTTTAAGGTAGGGACTGTCAATTCTGTTCTAACAGGCGACGATACTGCACTTCGAGAACCTTGGAAAGGTTGGACAGGCTGTCTTGTTCAGGTCACCTGGCTAGTCAGTGGCAGAGAAGGGACCCGAGTCCAGATCTGTCTGTATCTGTTACAATTGGGCCAGTAACAGAGACCCTGGCTAGCAGCAGCTGGAAAAAACAGCAGCTTATTTTTTTTTCCTCCTGAAATAAGGTCCAGATGTGGGTGACTGCTGGCCCATTCAGCTTTCTGTGATGGCGCACGGGACGCAGCTTCCTTCCGCTCTATCGTCTTCAGCACATGTGGCCTCTGGTCTGGATTTGTAGCCTCGTGGTCACAAAGTGGTTGCCGCAGCTCTGGACGTCACGTCCGGACGGCAGGCAGGACGAGGGGTTTGGGCAAAAAGGGTAGGGGATTTCTACCAACTGAGTCTGTCCCTTTTATTCAGGAAAAGAAGTCTTCCCCAGAACTCATCTAAGAGGGATTTGCTTCTGCTTCATTGGGTGGGGCGTAGTGACTCCGGGACAAATTGGTGGCCAAGAAGAGGAGATCCCGAGGCTGACTGAGTCAAAACCACTCCCCGAAGGTGAGGAAGAGGAGATCCCGGCCACTGCTGCACAGATGGAGGCACTGATGAGTGATGAGTGGCATCAGATGCACAGTGTGACTTCTGGAACACGTTGTGCCCCTGTCCTCTGACAGCCTGATGTTCTCCACCCCCACCGGTGCACTGGAGCCCCTGACCGGGGCTGCAGGGGCGAGCGAGGAGGTAGATGGGCAAATGGGCCGTGTCATTCTGGGTGGTCATTTGTATGGTGAGGTGGGCATGTGCATTTTAGAAAAGTCATAATGGTGCTATGTGGAGGGTAGACTGGGGGGCAGGGGGTGGTTAGGGGGTGGGGTGAGGGGCAGGTTGGGAGGAGTGGGGGGGGGCTGGGCAGCAGGTGGAGCCTGGACCAGCGAGGAGGCTCCCTGCACCGCTGTGGGAACATTGAGGTGAAGAAGCTTCCCGTCAGAGACACCCTGGTGGTCGCTTAGATGCGGGCGGGGGGAAGGTGCCGAGAGAGGGTGGTGGGTGACATAATGGAGACCTTGGGCCCGGGCCACTGGGTGGGCGCTCGGTGACACGTAGAAACGTGAGTCACTCGAAGCGGCGTGATCCCAGTCCGTGTCCCGACAGGTCCAAGGTAGAAAGATGGACCCTATAGAAAGACAGGCTGGGGTAGGGCCTGTCTGTCCCCTGGGGGATGAAATCAGAGCAAAGTCAGCCCTCAATTCCCTTGACTCCCTGTCTGCAGCTCTGACCACCGACGTCCCCGCCCCCCACCTCCCACATTACCCCCGGCTGTCACACCCCTAAGTCCTCCAGCACAGATCAGATGACCTCGCAGAGCAGTCGGCCAGCCAGGCACAGAACTGAGCGCGTGTCACGCGTTACCTCGTCTCAGCGAGACTTGGCAAGATTTCCAGGGTAACTCACGCCGTCGTTGTGCAAACCACGGGGTTACCTTTCGGCCTTGATTTCCAGCTGTGTCTTTCTGTGACCGCACGAGGTAAGACGTTTCTTTAGAGCCGTCACAGGCCATCTCTGGTTCTCTCGCTCGGCTTTGAATGGGGGATAAGCCCCAAGTGTGTCATTTTCTTTCTGTACCCGCCGCAGCTCAGTCAGAGACGGCCATCACGCCCCGCCCTTCTGGTCACCGGCGTCAGTACCGACGGTCAAGTGCAGTGGCCCCCTGGACTCCTAAAGCTGTGCCTTCAACGGACATTTCATCCCAGGCCGTCACAGGTGATAATTTAGGTGGTTATGAAGCCACTACGTGCCATTGACCACCGGTATCTCATTGGCCTGGCGATGAGGTCATCACCTGTGTCCAAGCCTCATCAGTCCGAGGGCCCAGCCCCGAATCCCAACTCTGAGGGTGTATCTCTCAGAAACACCCCCAGTGCTCAGTGCTACACCATTCGAGGTCCCTTCAGGAAAACAGAATCTCCAACCAGCCCACACAGAGAGGACGGTCCGCAGAGACACGGGTCGTGAAGGGTTGTCGGGGCCGACGGAGCAGGAAGGGAAGGGAAGGGCCCCCAGGGCTTAGGGACTCGGCACGCTGCCGCCCGGGGCTGGGGAACCCGGGACGAACCCTGCACCTGCTGCGGCCTCCGGTGGAGCTGAGCGCCACGGCCGCGGAGATCCCCGAGTCCCCGCTGCAGCTGGAGCCACAGAGGCAGGAACAGATTCCTTACCTCTGCCTTCCCGGTCCTGGGCCAGCACCTCTCATCGCCTGAACCTGGCTGGAACCGGCAGTCAAGGGAGGCAGGGACACGTGACTTGCGGATCCGGCATCGCACAGACAGTGGCCACCGAGCAGAGAGCCGAGACGACTGGACGAAGGACCAGCATATCAAGACTTGACTTTTGTACCAGCCAAACCCGTTCTGTGGCTTCCTGCTGGGTCCTGAGAAGGGGGCGCTGAGGCTCAGTTTCCCCATGAATAAAATAGGGATAATAACAGCCCCTGACAAGGCTTTTGGAGCATTGCGTTAAGTCAAGCACGTAGAAGAGCCTAACGAAAGGTACGGCCGAGGGAATAAGGTCGAGGGCCTTGTAATAGCGTTGCGTGGTGGGTGACCCCTGGCTGCTTCCTTGCCTCAGTGAGCTATGTGGCTGTGAATGGCCTCTCAGACGACATGGACCCTTTGGGGTTGGAAGGAGCGAAAGACGGAGTTGTGGCTCCTCGGTAACGTTTTCGGAACGGGTATGGCGGGGTGGGGGAGGGTAGGGGGCAAATGGGCCCCATCTGGGAGGTCTGGCAGCAGAAGGTAGGACCCCAGCCCACCTAGGAGGCGAGGACAGAGATGTTGGGGACAGCTCCTCTCCTAAGGCTGGGGCCCCAGGCCGAGAGTGAGGAGAGGGGGGCAGTCCCTCCTGCAGGTGGAGCCCAAGCGGCGGCCAAGGCCAAGTGGGCAGTTGGGGTCGGTTCTGGCCCTCGGGGCGGGGGAGGGGGGTGGGCAGCCTTCTCAGGGCATCACTTAGTGCTGACACTTGCACCCAGGACTCAGGAGCTCCGCTGTGGGGCCTGGGTGCCTGCGAGTCCCGTTGAGGCAGAGAGCCCGGATATCAGCGCCCCGGAAAGGATGTTCATTCAGCGATTCCTTCAGTCTCTGGGCCGTGTGCTGCAGGCGCTGGGGCACAGAACTGAGGAGGATGCCGCCGTGACGCCCTTTCCTGAGGTCCGAGGGGTCCAGGCAGAGGGCGGTGAGCAGGGGAAGGGATGGAGGGAGAGCAGGGCTCACCTGGGGGTAGGTGGGGACTCGGCCTGGCCTTGCAGCAGCTGTCACCAGATCCTGTCCTGCTGAAAGCCCAGGTCTGTCTCACCCCCCAGGCCAGGCCACAGAATAGGAGATTCGGGGACCTGGGATAAGTCATCACAGCGCAGCCCTGCCAGGCCAGGGGACAGCCAGGGGCCCGACGGTCTGTGGCAGGAAAATTAATTAACAAGTTGCATCGGGGGCTCACAGGAGAGCACGCATGGCCGGGTTGCAGACAGGCCTGAGTCCATCACGTGGCCTCAGTCAGGCGGAGAATCATCAGCCCCACTGGTGACAATGACAGAGGCAGGTGGGGCAGAAGAAGAAGCAAGGCCGGGAAAGGACACAGCCTGGGTTCAAACCCTGGCTCGACCACTTACCGTATAAGGTGGATGTGAAGTTTCACCTCCCTGAACCTCAGTGTCCCCCTCTGAAACACGGGGCCAATAATTCAGCTGATCTCACGGGCTTGCACTGAGGATGATACTGAACAGTTTACTCCGAGTCCCTTCCCGCTAACTGGCTTTGCACCATTCCCTTCCCTCTGCTGGGAACAACGCTTCTCCATCTGATGAACCCTTCTCCATCCGTCAAAACCCAGTGCAGCTGTCCTCGCCTTTAATGATATTTACTGCTGGTGCCTGTGACCTCTATTCCGCTTCTGCACTAACAGAATCTTGGCTTTTCCTGGGGAACGCTCTGTCCTCCAAACTCAGTTCTCGTGGTCCTGGAGGGGCTACTCAGCACCCTCAGGCTCTCTTTAAGTGCCTTATACGAGTCAACATGTTTTAAAAAAAAGTCTTTATTTATTTTGAGAGCGAGCGAGAGAGCGAGCGCACGAGTGGGGGGAGGGGAAGAGATGGGGGACAGAGGGTCTGAAGCAGGCTGTGCACCAACAGCGTGGGGCCCGATGTGAGGCTCGAACCCATGAACTGCGAGATCACGACCTGAGCCGAAGTCGGACGCTCAGCTCCCTGAGCCACCCAGGCGCCCTTGTGAGTCAACACATTTAATTATCATAAAAAATGGTGGTGAACATCAATATTTCTTACCACGGGAAGAGGGGTAGCAAGATCTCATCTGGATAAACCACAGTGATGGATATTTATGCTGAGGGCTGACAGTCAGAGCCCCCGGCGGGAAGCACATTCGCTCTGGGCGGTTCAAACACAGAGGTTTTCATGCCGGAGCTGCTTGTGGAGGTGACAGCGGGGTGAAGGGAGCAAGCGGGGAGGGCAGGCACCCCAAGAGTGGCGGCACCGGGCAGCTGTCAGCACCCGCGGATGAGGGGACGAGGACAGGGAGCACCGTTCCTGGAGCCCCGTGAGCGCTGGGGCTGTGGAGGGGCCGCCCCGGGAGCGGTGGTCGCAGGAAGGGCGCGGGCACTCAGGCTGTGGCCGGAGCAGGGAGGAGAGACCCTGACCTCCCTCTCCTCCCCCTGCCCGGGCTCCTGGGGGCCTCCGGCTGGTCCGAGACCCAGAAAGCCCATCTGCCAGGAACCCCCAATGCAGTGCATGGGGGTGGGCTTCCTCCGGGCACAGAGCAGGAGGGCACGGGTGGAAATGGGTCAGGGACGGGGACTAGTGCGGCGAAGCGCCAGGCATGGAATATTCCTGACCGGGTTAACGGTGTTACTTGGGTGTCTTGTAGGGATGTTAGATTCTTTGTATTTTGGTGTCATTTTTTGCAGCAAGAATGAACCACTTGAAAACGGTGAAGCTTTTTATTTTAAGTGATCAGAAGGAGGAAGCTGGAGAGCCATAGAGAAATGCTGTGATGCCTCCACAGTCGGGGCCAGAGTGTGGGTGAGGCACAGGTGAACCTGACTTCATGGCCCCCCTGGGAAACGGAGTCTCAAAAGCTCACGGTGGCTTGGCAGGTGCGATCATGCTGCAGGGACAAGTGGGAGGGAGCCCTGTGTGGCCTCGAGCAGGTCCCCCCTCTCTGGGCCTCAGTTTCCTTGTGACCAGAGACTAATGACTCTGAACCTGTTTATCATGGGGAAGAGAGAACAGACACACGGCCCCAGAAAGTGCTTGGGGTGCTTCCGGGGTTATTTGAACCTAATGGTAAAGGCTCAGAGTCAGCGTTCTTTGGGACAGGCCAGAGTCGAGGGCGAGGGCTACTGAATCGGTCTGGGAAGGGCAAGGGGCGCCCCCGGGGCAGCAAGGAGGAGCCTGGCAGCTGGGGGTGATGCAGAGACCGGGACTGGGGCTGAGGCAGAGTACCCCCTGCCCTTACCAGGATGCGTGATCCCTGAGCCTCAGTTTCCCCGGCTATAAAACAAAGGGGTTGCACAGATAATCCCCGTGGTCCGGTCTAACTCTGTGTCCACATCGGGTGGGGAATCTGGCAACAGGTGAAACTCAGGGACAGAGGTTTCCATCGTCGCCCTCGTCACCAGGAAAAGCCAT